TGGAAATAGAAATACCTTATGATTCAGCAATTCCTCTACTTGGTATTTACCCACAAGAAATACGAGCCATAACATGAGTAGATATATGCACACCAATGTTCATAGTAGGGCTATTTATAATAGCAAAAATTTGGAGATAGCCTAAGTTCCCATCAATTGAAGAATAGATAAACAAACTGTGGTACATACACACAATGGAATACTATGCCACCTTGAAGAACAACAAGGAAGTTGCAAGCCACCGCATAACATGAGTGAACCTTGAGGACATTACGCTGAGTGAAATTAGTCAGTCACAGAAGGAGAAATACTGCAAAGGACCATTACTGTAAAAGAGTAAGAAAAAGAACCCACACTAAAAGGGGAAAATTATATATATATTTGGTGATGACCAGGATGTGTGGGATGAGAGGACGGGAGGGAGGGAAGGAGGGATATAGAGCACAGGGTAGGGAATAAACACAAGATAGCTTGGGGGTGGGGGGGGCAATACACAAGAAGGGGTAGGGAAATGGAAGAACAGGCTGATGGGAAAACAGTTAGGCAGGTTCACATGGGCTAAGTGGGACAGAGGTAAATGATGATGTATGCACAACCTTAGAACAACAGGGCTCCAGGATACAGGGATTGAGGCATGGTTTGAAGGAGTAAAAGAGGGGAATAATGTTAAGATGCTTGGCTGTCCTTTGAATCTTGGTTTTCCTTGCCTATCATTGTAAAATAGACTCTTAATGGGGGGAGAAAGGAATAGCCAGAATCATCACTATAGAAAGCTTGTAAGTTCGTCTTCAGCCTATAACTGATTGGAATACCTTAAAGGGGGCTAGAAGTTGTCCAATGAAAGAAGTTGTCCAATGAAAGAGGCTTCCTATGGAGCCTTTACATTGCACAAAACCATAGGTGGAATCCAAAACCCCATCCAGAACCAACTAAAGTAGGAAATTTCCACTGGAAAGGACGAGTAGACCAGCCTGGAGCGGCTAGAAGAAGAACAGAAGATACTTCGTGAAAGACCAGCAGGAAAACTCCGAAACAATAATGGCAGTCTGACTGATTATTACAAAAACAAGTAAGTTGTTCGCCCAGGAGCCATCAAGGAAAGTGGTCAGGACCCCTCAGAGCAAACCCCCTTCCAAGACTGAGACTCAAGGGGAATACATGAACAGGCATGTGGTCTAGCTGGTGACCATGTTGATCACTGATAAGGGGAAAAGGGGGAAAAACAGCAATGAAGTTGCGAGCTAAACCTAACCACATTCAATAGACCCCTGTGAACCTGGGTGGAGACCTGGATGGCCAGCAATATGGCAAGACCCGGGGACTCCTGGGACTAGAGGAAGTGACATGGCCACAGAGGATTACAGCAGAGAGTGAAGCATCCAACTGATACAAAGTTAAGGGTAGATACACAAGAACAACCATACTTGCAGATAGTACCCACTTGACTTAGCTTCGATGGCTGGATGATCAGAACTCGACTAGAAGAAGAAAGAAGGGGGTGGAGGGAGTAACCTGCTACAATTTGATGAACTTTACCCATACTTATGGACGTAGTAGCTCAAAAAAGGGAACAAATCTTTACAGTGAGGATCACTCCCACTCCCTCGGTAGACAGAGTTGACAGGGATGGGCAATCTAGACACTGGCTACCCAAAATGGGGGTGCTTATGAAGGCAAGAAGTGACTGGCTTACAAGCTTTCAAGAGGGAGCCGAGTTCCAGACTGGACAGGGGAAGGTAGATCACCACTGAATGATTTCCAATCTTTTGGGACCAGGCTGAAGAATGGAAATGGGGTAAGATTCTTGTGGTACAATAGTGAATAATTGCCATCAGGACAGACTGTGAGGGTAGGAATATAAAGATAAATGTTTTTCGACAAAACGAGGAGAGTGATTGATTTTGCAGCCAAGGAGCGGAGGTCCCTGGGACCATCAAATGAGAAGAGCAGAGAGCGGGACCCTACCCAGAGAGGCAGAGACGCCAGGGATGGAGACAGAGACGATGATGTGGACAGATGGAGTGGCTGAGGACACTGAACTTAGGGAAGGAGAGGGCCTGTGTGATTATTTGATGATGCATGGAGGGGATTGTAATCATTGTAATGAAATGAAATACGATAGGATGAGTGTCAAGCTGATGTTCTCCCATGTACACCTCACAATAAAAACTTTAAAAAAGAGATAATAAAAAGTTTCCACACACACAAAAATGTTATACAGCAAATATTTCAAATGAGCATATTTGTTTTATAAAGACGTATCATCTTAACACCTGGTGGAAAAAAACACAGAAGATGGACCTTTCCAATGACAGTCCCAATTTGCAGTGCTTCGAGACCTAATCCTAGTTCTATTTTGACACTTCAGAGCCTCTGAGCATCCTAGTTATCGCATAAAAATATAGTAGAAGCTATTAAAATATTCACGTTTGATCATACTATAGAAACATGCATGCCTAGGGCATATTTTGTCCATTTAGAAGATGGTGGACATAGCATATAAGACAGAGAAGTTCACAGTTCCAGATACACTGGAAAACTTTGGATGTAGCTTCAGTTGTCTTTTTTATTCAATCGCTGCTTCACACTTGTCACATTTTGGAGGCATAAGTCAGGTGGCTGTTTGTGTTCTCCAGAGTCACCTGTCAGAAAGTTATCTTTGGGCTCAGGCTCAACCAAAGTGGGTTGTGGAGCTGGTTTTTCTTTTCACATTCCTGAGCCATGAGGGAGAAAGAGCAATAGCTACTGTTTTCTCTGAATATAACTCAAGAAGTAGGTACCAGGCCTATTGGGAAGTTTTCCTCCTAGATGACCATGAGAATGACTTCTCCACAATGATTCCTGAGTGAGGAACTCAAAGAAGTCAGTGAGAACGACTTGTGTCTGTTCTGTAATGCCTAGGGCCGCAACTGGGGAAACTGAGAGGCTAGCAAAGCTCAACAGCTGGGTGTTAAGAGTCACCTGTCAGCACCTTCACTAACATTTCTGGCAGTTACTGTTGGTTTTCAGATAGGACTTAGCTGGAGCTCTCAGTAGGGGGACTTACATGTGGTCTCTTCATAGAGCCTGGGCTTCCTCACAACATGATGTCTTAAGGTAGTCAGATATCTGCAAGACGGCAAGACAAGGCTACGAAACTGAGTGCCCTCAGAAATCCAGGTGGATTTTTCTGACCTAACCTTAAAAATCACATAGCAACATTTCTGCTGTATTATAACAGTCAAGGGAATAACTTGCTCTCCTAATTTAAAGGGTGGAGATATAGACTCCACGTCCCCATAGGACTTGGAAGAAATGCTGGAAGAACTTTGCTCACTCAGGTATCTCAACAACAGAATGATGATGGGGTCCCTATATGAACCTTGGTGGGAATGTCAGGTGATTTGGAAAGGAGAAGCTTCCCCAGGCTTACTGACTTACCCGAGGGTGCCTTCTGCCAGCCAGCCCGTGGTGCACACTGAGAGGGCGCAGTCCTGGACCAACCTGCGTAGCTCATCTGCAGACACGAGGTGGGCACCCCTGCTCCTGCAGGAACGCTGTGCTGCCTCCAGTGCCAGGCCCTGAGAGCCATTCTGAGACTCCAGCACAAAAAGTTTCCCTGTGTAGTGGGGACAAGCACAAATACAGGCTGACTCCAGGATCCATGGGAATTTCATCTCAGCACACCACTCTCCAGGCAAATGTCTGTCAAAATTGTAGCTTCCTATTTGCCTACAGCCCCAAGTACAGTAACTACCCCATCACACCTCATGCCTGGAACCAAGTGACAACAATTGCACTGGTGTTTTGTGTGTTTTTTTATCATTTTTTGCTCCTGTCTTCTTTTAAATAGAAAGTATAGTCATTCTGCATGCTTAGCAGGATAAACTCTTCAAATTTTCACTTTACAGAGGTGTTTCACAAACACCATGTGGGAAGGTTCAGTGTCCTTGCTATCCTGACTTGGATCATGTGGTATCCAAGGCACTACGCTACCTTTTTCTGCGTCCCAATCCCTGTGGTGGTCAGTACAGCAGGGAGCTTGCTTCCCTTCTGTCTCATTGCCTGAGGACATTGTCAGAGGCCCTCCTACATGGAGCTGGTTTATATTCACTGTCCTTCCCTACGGGGCAAGACAGCAGTCACCATGCCTGGTGCACCTTGGCTTCCTGCAGCATATCAATACCTGGGTGTGTAGTGGGCCTCCAGGAGTGTGAGATAGGGGGTGCAAGAGGAACAATAGTTTAGGCAGAGGCAGAAGTCCAGACTGAAAGCAAAAGAGAGCTTTAGGCAAGAGAACCTTGAGGCAAGAAGTGGTACTATGGCCCAGGAGTGTCAGCAAGGGGTGGAACACTGTTTTGGGTGGCCCTAACCTAAAGGAGTCCTGGTGTGGTGCTATGGAATAATGCACTGGACTGCAAGGTCAGTTGGAACCACAAGGTCAGCAGTTCAAATTCACCAGCTGCTCCTGGGAAAGGCCACTATGAATTAGAATCAACTTGAAGGCACTTAACAATAACCTAAAGGAAGGCATTAGGCATTGAACTTTGTCACATATCAAAATATGGGTTGGAATCCTGACCCTGTAGCATCAAGATGTGATTCCATTTTGGAAGGAAGAGAAATATTTTTTTTTCTTATGTTCATTAGGCCATATCTATGTAGGGGGTGTCCTAAACCTAATCACTTCGGAGCTATAAAAAAAAACAGATTAGACCCATTGTGGTACAGTGGATTAAGTACTGGACTGTTAACTGAAAAATTAGTGGTTTGAACCCACCAGCTGCACTACGAGTTCGAATCAACTTGAAGGTAGTGGGTTTTTTTTGGGGTAGGTGAGTGATACACTGTAAAATGTGGTGCCATCATACAGTACACAGCCTGCGTGGCTGGCTCTACTGGTTGCTCTGATCAGAGAAGTTAACAAGCATTCCAAGATGCTTTTCTTTTGGTGGTATTTGCCTATCTTGAAAAATAGACTTATGAAATTAAACCGAGGTTTGGATGGCTATGACTCGCAGCCCAGTTGGTAACCACTACGCTACCAGAGCTCCTTTCTGGCAGCATAGTGATTATGAATCGAGCTGCTAATCTCAGGGTCAGCAGTTGGAAACTACCAGCTGTTCTGCAGGAGAAAGATGAGGCTTTTTGTTCCTGTAAAGATTTACAGCCTTGGAAATCCTGTACAGGGTCACTATGAGTTGGGACCAACTCCACAGCACATAACAACAACAACAAATCCTCAAGGAACTGCTGAATGAATTGTCTTGGTGCAGTTTGAAACTACCAGTTGTTCCTTGGGAGAAAGATGTGGTTTTCTTTTTCCATAGAGTTTTAGAGCCTCAGAAACCCTATACAGGGTTGCTATGAGTTGGAACTGACTCCACAGCACATAACCACCACCACTACCACAGAACAAAACTGCCAATCCTCACTGAGAACTGAGATCTTGGAAAATAGATACAGCTCTTTAGGAAAAGCACCAGACTGCTAACCAAAAGGTCGATGGTTCAAACTCACCAGCTGCTCCTTGGAAACATATAAGGGCGCTATGAGTTAGAACCGACTTGATGTTTCTAAAGTATCTAGAAAATACTAGATACTTTAAGTCAAATATAACCTACTAGTCACTCTTCAAGGAGCTCTGGTAGCATAGTGGTTACGAATCGGACTGCTAACCTCAAGGTCGGCAGTTCAAAACTACAAGTGGTTCCACGGGAGAAAGATGAGGCATTCTGCTCCCATAAAGATTTACAGCCTCGGTAATCCTGTGCAGGGTCACTACGAGTTGGAATCGACTCCATGGTATTTAACAACAACAAGTCGTTCTTAGGAAACCCTATACAGGATCATTCTGAGTCAGAACTGACCCAACAGCATTGAACAATAACATGAAGTAAAAGGAGCTAAGTGCTCGGCTGGGCACCAAAAGATCATCAGTTTGAACTCACAGCAATTCTGTGAAAGAAAAATGGGGCAGTCTTCTCCCGAAAAGTCTTGGAAACCCTATAAGGCAATTCTGTCCTATATTGGTTACTATGAGTCAGAACTGACTTGACAGTAGCAGCGTTTATTTTATACAAGGAAAAAAGGTACTATGAGTGAGTGACAACAGATAAAAGAAACAAGCAGAAACTGACACTAATATAAATCTGACTTTGGTATGATCCGACAGATTATTTTTTAAATGATTACAATAGCCAAAGGAATAAAAGAAAAGTTTTTAATATCTGCAAATCATAAACTATAAACGTAGCTTGTTGTTAGGTGCCTGTGAGTTGGTTCCAACTCGTAGCAATCCTATGCACAACAGAAAGAAACACTGAATGTTCCTGTGCCACCCTCAGAATTGGTATGTTTGAGCCCATTTCTGGTGACACTGTGTCAATTCATTTCGTTGGGGGTAATTCTCTGTTTCGATGACCCTCCACTTTTCCAAGTATGATGTCCTTTTCCAAGGACTGGACTCTCCTAACATCCAAAGTTTGAGTAACAAAGTTTCTCTACATTAGCTTCTTAGGAGCATTCTGGCTACACTTCTGACAAGAAAGACTTGTTTTTCCTTCTGGCAACTCGTGGTACTTTCAATATTCTTATCTAACACCGTAATTCAAATGCACTGAATTTTCTTCAGTCTTCCTTATTCATCATCCAACTTCCACGTGCATATAATAAAAATATCATGGCTTGGGTCAGGCGCACCTGAGGCCTCAAACTGACATCGTCACTCTTTGACACTTTGAAAAGACTGTTTGCAGCAGATTTGCCCAATATACTATGTCCTTTGATTTCTTGGCTACTGCTTCTGTGAGTGATGACTGCAGATATAAGCAAATTGAAATCTTTGACAACTTCGATCTTTCTTCTGTTTATCAAGATGTTATTTATTGGCCCAGTTGTCAGGGTTTTCACTTCCTTTACATTGAGATGCAATCTACACTGAAGGCTGTATGTAGTCTTTGGTCTCCTTTAGTAAGTATTTCAAGTCCTCTTCACTCTCACCAAGAAAGGTTGTGTCATCTGCATATTGCAAGCTGTTGATGAGTCTTTCTCTAATCCTGAGGCCATATTCTTCTTCATATAATCCAGAGTCTCTAGTATTTGCTCAACATACAGATCTAGTATGGTGAAAGGATATAACCCTGAGGTACAACTGTCCTGATTTTGAACCATTCTGTAGCCCCTTGTTCTATTTCAACGACTGTCTCTAAGTATATTTATGTACAGTTTCCCCATTAGCATAATTAAATTGTTCTGGAATATTCAGTCCTCGCAACGTTATCCATAGTTTGTTATGACCCACACGGTCAAAGGTTTTTGCAAAGCCAATAAAGCACAAGGAAACTTCTTTCTGGTATTCTCTGCTTTCAGTCAAGATACATTTGATGGCAGCAATGATAGCCCTCATTCCACATCATCTTCTGAAATCAGCTTGAATTTCTGGAAACTGCCTGTCAATGTACTTCTGCAACCATTTTTCAATTATCTTCAGCAGAAATTTACTTGCATGTGATATTAATAATAATGTTCAGTGATTTCCACATTCTGTTGAGTCATTATTCTTTGGAACAGGCAGAAATATGGATCCCTTCTAATCGGTTGAACAGGTAGCTGTCCTCCAAATTTCTTAGTATAGACCAAGGGCACCTCCAGCACTGCAACAATTCGTACTTGTTTTTTGCCAACGTCTTTAGTACATCTTGAAATGACTGAACATCAACTATTTCTTCTTGATACAGTGACTCTGTGTATTCCTTCCAACTTATTTTGAGGATTTTTTGTCATTCACTATTTTATTCATAGAATCTTTCAATATTGCAACCCAAGGACTGAATTTTCTCTTCAGTTCTTTCAGTTTCAGAAATGCTGAGCATGTTCTTCCCTTTTGGTTTTCTAATTTCAAGTCTTTTCACATTTCATTATAATACGTTACTTTGTCTTCTCAAGCTGCCCTTTGAAATGTTTACTTCATCATTTCTTCCAGTCATTTTAGCTTCTCTACATTCAAGAGTAAATTTCTTTTAAGTTTTTATTGTGAATTATGTGGGTCTACATGGGAGAACATCAGTTTTACATTCATCCTATCGTATTTTGTTTCACTGCAATGATTACAATCCCCTCCATGCATCATCAAACAACCAAAAGGTACACCCCAGTCGTCAGTACACAGCCCCTCTCCTCCCTGGGTCCAGTGTCCCCAGCCTCTCCATCTGTTCACATAATCATCTCTGCCTCCATTTCTGGTGTCACTGCTTCCCTGGGTAGGATACTGCATGCTGCTCTTCTGCCTTGATAGTCCCAGGAACCTCTGCTCCTAGACTGCAAAATCAATCACTCCCCTCCTTTTGTTACAAAACATCTACCAACATTTCCGACCCTCATAGTCAGTCCTGATAGCAATTATTCACTATTGTACCACAAGAGTCTTATCTCCATCTCCTTTCATTAGCTCTGTCCCAACAGATTGGGAACCTTTCAGTGGAGATTCTACCTTCCCCCATCCCATCTGGAACTAGGCTCCCTCTTGAAAGCTTGTAAGCCAGTCACTTCTTGCCTTTGTGGTGGTGGTGGCTGTGTGCTGTGGAGTCAGTTCTGACTCATTTGTAACACCCTCCATTT